GGACCTTTTATTTGGAGAACGTGCACAGTTGTACTTATCTGGCTCTAATACGTCCGCGCGTGTGTAAAAGTCGTATATTTATAATGTACTTCCCAGTTTGCTACATTTTGCTACATTTTGGTCAAGTCATTAAAACGAACGATTTGATAGTCCAAGGACGTCTATGGATAGTCATACTTTCACCCTTGGTTCATTTTTTTCATTTATAAATAAAATTAATTTAAATTCACATATTCAAATACTAGAAACTCTAAATCGCAATCGTATCGTTTTAGATTTTTAAAATAATGCTTTAGTTTTGAAATACGACTGTGTAAACACAAACGTTGGTCAATATTTACGCGTGAGCTTCGTCTGATTTCACTTGAGAAAATCGTTGCCAATGCGTAATGTTGATGCACCCACTACTCAGTACATTTAGATCATAGAATTATAAACTAAAGACCCTCTAATCTACATATTAATATGATCATGAATCTGAAATCTATTTAAAAATCCATTCACATTAAGTTATTGAATTGTCCGTCTAAAGTTTACGCTATACACTGAACGGTTCAATCATCAAAAGTTTATTTCAGTTCATTCCTCGATATTTAGACATAAGAAAACATAACTTACAATCATAGTATGGATGTGAATTTAATTAACTTTAATACTTACATTCATAATGATTACTGTCGTGAAATTATTTTCGGAATCCGTCCAAGAATAGTGGTGTAAAACGGCTTCTCCTGCGACCAACCTAAACATGTCCGTTTGACGCAACAATTTTGCACTCACGATGTTTTCAAGGTTATTTACAGAAAGATGACGAAAATATTTGACACCATAGCAAGTTATAATTTAGATAAACATGCAGTAGAGACCCCCTAGTACCACCATTGAAAAAATCAGAAAAATCTGTAAATTTTAAGCAATTCAATTCTGCTCACCAAGAAAGCGGGTTTTACAAGAAGTATAGACCGGGAGCGCGTGAACACCTAGCGGTAGGTTTTAGAGTGAAAAGCATAAGACGAAATTGGCGCGTCATATCAATAATTTGCCCGTAGTGATGTCCCAAACTTTGGGCAAACTGTGATCTAATGCCCAAAGGAACAATGTCTAACATCTACCTCATCCTTGTAATACAGAAATTAAAATATAATACCAAACTTCAAGACTATGGAACATTTCATTCAAACTGAATCAATGCATGTTTAAGAACTAATCTTCAGACAAAATAGGCCATTTAGTGTCAAATTGATGTGGGACAGACAAAATCCGGTCTATAATAATGTGAAACTCGACATTTAATCTTGCAAAATGTCTGGGGAGTTTGTTGCATTTTGTTTATATACAGATATAAAAAAAGAGAATTATATATTTCAATTTTTTAATTTTTTACTACATTTTTGGGAGAGGGTTTTTGAATATACTTGTATATGCACAAATATCAAAGTGAAAGAACCAAAATTATTACAGAAAACAGCACAAAGTATCTTGGAGTACACCAACCAACCCCAACTATCCCAAACCATGATCTAACATGAAAGGAAACAATGTCTAATATCCCCTCCCCCACCATTCAATTACCATTATCGCAATCCAAGGCCACAATACCAAGTAATGTTTCATTCATACTGAAGTCATTACATTACATGTTGTAGAAAAGACTCAAATTGATAACCATTACTCAAAGCATCAAAAATAGTAAAGCTACTAGTATTATTTTCTGGTTTAAGGGAGACCTGATCTCTTAATATGGTAGTTCACTTCTTTTAAACTGGAATATGACTTCATCTCAATACATGGGTTCGCATACTTGACTGTCCTTGTGATTCAAAATAATGCAAAAGTTTGATTTAGACATAAACCTACATATAGACCTTCACCATATAGTTATAGCTTTCTATGTAAAAGGTTCATAAGGTTTAAGACATATGAAGTAATGAATAGGTGCACCTTTCTTTCAAACCTCAACTGAAACATGTTTCTTATAAACATAAGTAAAAGTTTTTCTTTCTCAAAATATTCTGATAAATGCTGATTGGTTGATCTGCATTGAAATTGAATATTAAGTTAATGATGCATTAACGAGACATCACTAATGGTGCTCATCTGACACTTTCTGTCACATTTCTTTATATTACATTCATTGAATTATGGTGGAGTTTCACCCCAATCTATGTATATGGGTAGTATCATAAATGAATACAATTTTATCATTGTGACTATTAAAAAGCATTGAGATTAGTGTATATATATGTCTAATGTCCTTTCATTGATTGAATAATGAATGTATTGTCATGAGTTTCATGGTTATTAAGGACTAGAAGGGAGACATGTTGGCATAAGTTTTAAGAAATTGTCACAATTTTAATAATTTTTGCTCTCATCATTACATGTTATGACTATTTTTTAAATATTCAAAAATGTTCTGGCTTTATTTCAGCAAATTCTTTGATTTTTAGGGGTACCCATACCAAAATTGGAAAAATTGAACGCCCCCTTGAATGTCCACTTTCTTAATTTTAATAATTTTGTACATTTCTGCATCTTAATCTTCAATAGTATCTATATTTGATCAAAAGTCGTAATTCCCTTTTTGGGAACAAAATTTAGATTGTAATGGCATGATTTTTGAAAAAATTGTTTCAAACATTTTACACTCACCATCTTTTCATGTCAATTTTAGTTAGAACACTAATCTAGCATATCTGGGATGAATTCAATACAATAAAGGTGATTTTATGTGTTTTACCTGCATGTATCCCTAAAAAACATATCTTTATACTGAATATTTGGCCTGTTACAATATAAAAATTGGTGATACATTAATGATGGCAATTAAGTATTCTGATATGGTACTTTATCTCTGGACAATAACAGCAAGTGATATTTTTTGATATTATGGAGTAGTGCATGATACTTTTCAGAAAATCGTTGTCAGTCCAATTTTAGGCTACTTTTGTTTATTAGCCACATGTATAACTGATATAAATAAAGATGATTTTTTTTATTGTAATCATGGAATAAACCTAATATAGATTTTTTGTGTTATCTTGACCAAATATTTCATAGAAATATGTCTGTTATAGATGAATTTTCACATGATATGCAAATAACAAGGTTTTCAGAGGATGATTCCACTTTCTTTGATTACATCATTTGATCGGTTTATTATGTCATTTTGATCAAAAGCTAATATCAAGAGACATTAACTATTTCATTTTTGCAATCATCCACCAACGTAAGCAATTAAAAAAGACATAATTCAAAAAGCAGTCTTATTATTCAATAATGTTATTAAAACATAAATCATAATCACCTTCGGAATAAAGTACCTTTGAAGCGTTGAACCCCACAATTCGAAGGATTTATATTGATATATTCACATAGATCCTTTGGGCAATCTTCTAATATTCCTTTTGATCTGATAGTATAGCCACATAACACAAATGGTTTAATTAAATTGAGATGTTCCTTCCTGATTTATTTGGAGATTATATCAAAATGTTTGTATGCATATTTGGGAGTTCTTTGCTTTGAATATATAATTCAATATAACAGATATTAATCTGCTAAGATTGGGATATTTTTATCTCCTTGTGCTTCCTACTTTAGCTTATACTTTAAAGTTGTCAGTTGTTTTGAATCAGAAATGACAAACAACAGTTGAAGAATATCTTAAAACCATATACAGTAATGCTGGTATAAGTGGAACACATTTGGTAACTATTTATTCTACTTTGGAGATGTTCTGAGAGACCTTTAACATTAAAACTGTCTTACATTAGAGGGCCTTACAGGGGTGTTCTACAGTTTCTACTTTTTTATTTGGTTATTTATTTAGTTTTCAAAGGTTCACGTAGGTTATCGCAAACAATTTCAGACCATAATATCTTGGATTAAGACTATTTTCTGACCATGAAGACAGTTATATCTTTAAGATCCATTCACTATCTCAAATAAAATTATATACAATAATAATAAAGTCAAACGGAGGTGGAAATATTTAACTAGCAATCAACCCATCAACACTCTTTTTCAAAGATGTTGACCTCATTTTCGCCATAAATGCAATCATTTTTTACAATGTTTAATGCATTACTATTCTTTATTTTGATATTTCGTATTAAATAGTTCTTGAAAGAAAAACTTAATTGCTTCAAGATCAGTGTTCCCCGTGTTATTTCTCCATTGAAAAATCTCGTGCTATCCATTGGTTTCAGTATATTTTGGTCATCATTGGTCAAATTCAGTATCTTTAAAGTCCCTCGTGCAATCCACTTATCCTTTTAGGAAATAGAACATGCCTTAAAATACATTCTAATTATGCATTCAACAATATAATAAAAGGTTGCATTGTTGGTGAAAATTAGGTCAAGATTTCTGAAAAAGTATGTTGATTGGTCCATTGCCCCTTTAATATCACTTAGGTCTGATTAACTAAATCATCATTATATTCACTTTTCTAGAACATGACAGATGGGTCTAAAAGATACACCCATGTTCATGATCAGAAAATATTCAATATTCAAGTTAGAATTGTCTGAAATTGTTTGCGATAACCTACATGCTCCTTTAGAAACAGAAAAAGATAATGTGCTTATATCTATCAAAATAATTTTAAATTGACTAATTTTGTATAACCTTCTATAAAAAATGTATGTCTATGTTTTGTTAAACGTCCAATGATACAGATCTAAGAAGGTATCTCAACACAGGTATTTATCCAATATATTAATGTAAATATCCATGATAAGATTATTGGTATTATATGTATTTATATATGTATTTATACGTCCCAGGTATTTTTTTATATTTTATTATTGAATTGTAAGACTGACCATTATAAATACATAAATAAATAAACGTAAACTTTATATTTTATTTCATTAAGTAGCATATTAGAAAAATATGTAATGTTACATTTTAATAAATAATTGCTTTAATATGTTGAAGTTGATATTTGATAAGCGTCTATGAATAATATTTTATTTCAAAGTTATTCTCCTTACCTTGTCCACTAACGTTCATAATTGTTGCTTTTACAAATATCCTTTTCAACAATGTTTTTTTAGTTTTCCTTTTGTGAATTTAAACTCAAAGTATATACGCTCTGTGAAATGACTTCAAAAGTCTTTGTGATCTATTATCAGGTAAGGTAGAACAGGTGTTCAGATAAGGAAGCTATTGGAATGCTTCTTTCAGCTGCAGCATGTCTTGTTAAACCAACTGTGGAAATGCAGCAACTAGACTGCTTCTGTCAGAGACCTCCCAGTTATTATTATTATCTAAAGCATCCAATCTAGGGCCTTTATTAAATCCTCAATTCTCTGTAGCCCTTACAGTGATTGTTCCCTGGATAGAGAAAGGACTCTGGCAAATAGCGGAAAGAGGTAATTGATATGTCAGTTATTAGGTTTTATAAATTATGCATAAAACATTTTATGGCATGATGAACTCAAACACTTGTTCTTCCATATGTCCATCCCTTCAGTCATCCATCCATCAAGTATTTTAGAACTGTCATGGACTGCAGTTCTGTAGTGTAACTTATTTCTTATTATCAAAATGAACCAAATTTGAGAAGGGATATAGAGAACCCAATTAATGGATATCTTAGCACAGTGCCAAGATATAGAGATATATAGGCTAATAAAGAACCTTTGATCAAGAAATAATTTCCAAAATGACTGCTCAATTCCAAATTTAAGAATCTTTCGAGAAGGCTGCTGAAATCAAAATGGTCACTATTTTCAAGGAAATGCAATTTTTAATTTTGAACTCTGATACTTCAAGATTAAATAGGCCAATATGTCCAGATTAAATAAGCTGATGTCTAATTGAAATATAACCTCTGCTCAAGACAAGAAATTCCAATATGAGGACTCAATTCAAAATGGCTGCAGCATTTTGTAAAAAAAGCAATATTTTAAAAGTCAAAATACTGGTAGATTTAAGGGTTTGGTTCATATTTAATATGTTGATATGCCTTAAAGTCATAGAACTTCTGCTCAAGAAGAAGCAAGGTTGCAGGATGTGGCTCAAAATTGTTGATAACTTAACTTTTGTCCAAATTGAATCTACTATTAAAGTCTTATGATAACAGGACCTCACTCGAGTTTCAATTTTCTTTAAACCTTTAGAACTCAAATTCCAGTAATCAGAATAAGACTTTTTGTAAAAAATATAATTAAATATAATAAAAATATAAATAGGTTGAATAACAGTTGTTATGTGATGGTGCTGCTCCGCTGAAGGTGGCTGCTGAAATCAAAATGACTGCCTTTTTCCAGAAATAGTAATAAGTTTTCTTCAGTGAGATCTGCTACTCTGAGAGTTGTTTTACTTGTACAACCTAATAATTATAGGCTGTAATTTATACCATTAATTATGTTATTTGATAAATATTGAGGTGTAATTTTATGAATGCTATTTATTTCCCTGAAGCTATTCAAAGACATTGATCAATGGACTTAAGTCAATGATTGATCTTATCCAGTTTTGAGTCCAGTCTTACCCAATCTTGAGATGTAATTTAATATATCATTGAACAATAACAAGTATTACCCGTTAATCTCATAAAAAAGTTATATTATAAGATATAAATAGAAAATACACACTCAATGTCACTTGTACAAGACAAAGCTGTTTGATGAAGCAAATTTAACTTATTTATAGTTGTAGAAATTGACATTATCAGTAATGCTTTTTTACCAGTCTGATTTATAGATAAGGTGATGGTAACTTACCCATTGTTAAAGTGACAATCTTCATTTTTCACACCTTTTCTCAATAAATTGTGATCATATGATTTCCGGGTAATCTGCATTTGAAAACATATGATACAACTCATGTCATTACACCATTCTTTGCAAACACATGTGAATCATGAGTATCATGAACAAAATGAAATGATGTTTTATCAATGGGGCAATACCTCAATTCTAATCTTTTGCTTGAGTTGCTTTATCACAAGAGTAACTGATCAATTTCTTTTGTTTGAGTGTTTGAGTTGTAACAGATATGAATAGGAATACTTGTTTATTTTAATGTTTGATTATACAAAAATTAGAGTGGCATCGTATAACCCCCAAAAAATAAAAATACTTTGAGAAAGTCTTTGATCTTACTCAACAACAGTATCTTGTTAACCTACCATAATCTGATCAGAACTGAAAGCAACTTATCTTGTTTTAGTTTTTTTGTCATCTTGATTAAATTAAACCTAAAACAGAAAATATAACATAACTGACACTTCCAGCAACTATTCTTATGCAGAAATAAAAAATATAAAAAGAAAAATAATAAGCTTGAAATCGATCCAAATAATTTATTAAATTAAATTTTCATGCTTTTAGAAAATGTAACTTTTAGGTCAAGTAGATTCACTGTATTGTCAACGTTAAACAATCATAAGAAGTAAATTACTTATTTTATTGATCAGATGACAATCATATGATACAGAACACAAAATAGTAAATATCTAAGCACAAGTGCCAAATGGAGAGGGCCACAACATACAATACTCAACAATACTCAACAATGGACATCAGGGGAGAAAACCATGGCTGGTTGTGATCTCTATTTCTCAACCATTAATGCCATCATAGGGATCCACCTTTAAAGGTGCCAAGTTAAAACATTGTGAGTTTCAAAGCTATATGAACCCTCAGTTATTAGTGTTAGAACTATTACAGATGAAAAAACTTTGGCACTATTAAAAAATAATTTTACAGATTTTTTACAATAATGATGAGTTTTGCATCCTTCCCATGGGCTGAAGGTCAGATAAACACTCAACACTTTTATAATTTATCATTTCAGTCATCAGCTAAAAGCTTCTATATTTTTTCCACAAAATTAGACTGCAGAGATGACATATGAGAGATGCATTTTGTCAAGAACTTTAAGTGAGTCTTGTTGTGAAGACATTTGTCATAGGGAAAATTCTTGACATACTATATCTATATATTGTGATAGAGGTTATTGAAGGTTGAAACTATTATAGTGAATTTCTTTCTCACCTGTTTTCAAAAGCGCTCATTGCTGATATATCTTTGAGAACAATTATAATGTAAAAGAATTATATAGTGTTTGAGTTGTATCAGCATTTTACATGTTATGTTCATTTGATATTATGAACACATACTTGATCTTGTAGAATTGTGTTGCAAGCACAGTCACCCAAACACTGACAACTGTAAAGACAAATTTCGTTTCTGTAAAAGCAATGCAAGTCTCTCCACAAGTATGTAATTTCTAACAATTTTTATCATTTTAAAATCCAATATAGTTGGCAGTTGTCTTAATTTGCATGAAATAGAATATTAGTACTCAAGGTAAAGTTAAAGTACATTTTCATTATTATGTCCTTTTTCGTGCCCATCTTCTAAATAATATAAACAATATAAGAGTGTTTGGAGTCGCTGTCACTGTCTGTTGATTTCATGGAATTTGACATTGTGGATGGCTCTGCAGTGATCCCTGTCTAGTCTTGATTTCTCACTTAACAAAAAGTGTTATAATTTTGAATTCATTTCATGTTTTTGCACATTTTGCAATTTTATGTCATTCCAAGCTTCCTCAATCCAATCAACAAAAACTTTAATTGAATGTTTAGCTGATTTTGTGTACATTTCCAATTAATTTTTTTCGATGTGCATCTTTGAATTTGTCAAATGTCAATACTCAAGTAATATGTAACCGATCTCTGTCATATTTGTACCACTTGCTAGTGACCCTTAATAGGCTACTTTTTTGAAATTTTCATCAGCTGAACTCTTTGTCTGCCATATTGGCTTCATGAAAACAATGTGCATATTTCAAATTGCTCTCTTATACAGACGGATGAGTGTTTTTATCCTAAAATATTAATTGCCATGATCACAGTATCATTTCTGGGGCGTTGGGATACTGGATCGTATCCCAACGTTGACGTCATTTTAACTCTATATCCCACGCTAAGTTGAGAGTGCGTGTAAATACAGAATATATTTAAGTCAGATAGACCAATCAGGTTGCAAGGAATTTCACTATCATGGATGCTGCCAGATATTCCATGTGGCACAGTTCTAACCAATGATACAGTTGCTAGCTAGATAGTGATATAAAAAGGTTTTTAAAAAGGCAACAGCAACTTGTTGCCTTGGGTTTTTGTTTAGTTATCTTTATTTATATTTCTGATACGGTCTCTAATATATCATACTTTCATAACAGGATTTTTTATGGTATTACATTGCATGTCTCTTTTTCATTTGATGCTCAATACCAATTAGCTTAATGTCTAATTTATGATTTCAGTTCCTGTTTTTATAAAGTTCTAATAACCAATGGCAGCTCAAGTAATAGGCTTGCTCAATGGTTGATATTGCTTCCTGTTACACTGCCACAAAATGCTTCGTTGGGCTCTTACATTCGTAAGAATAGAACAAAACAGAATAAAACACCCCCATAATGATGAAATCAATCATTCTTTAAAAGGAATTCGGTTTGGAACCAGATTTTATCCAAAATAAAGTTATTAAAATGGTGCAGACATAATAGTCCGGATGTGAAGTGCCATATTCTAAGTGAAGGTGGAAATGCTTATTATATGAACTTTTTTTGCATTTTCTGTTTAAACATGATATCCATATTCAGAAACTGTCGGATGCCCAACGGGCACCCTTGAGGAATTTTTTTGGCGGCCATTTTGAATTTTCACATGTTTTATGTATTTTAGCCAGCATATTAGAACAGAAAACTAGCATACACATACACAAATCTTGCTGTTTTTCTTTAATAGAGTTTTAATATGATGTATACCAATATGTTAGGTTCAAGAAATGTTTCTTGACAAAAATAAAAAAAATCAAGATGGCCGCCAACCTTACAATTTATGAAATGTCTCATTCTGTGATAATATCAAATGGATATTAAGTGTTTCCTACAAAATTATCAATAAAAATACTAAATACATCTGATTATGATCTCTTTCTCAGATATAAAATATCTGAAATGAGTAAAAAGTAACCTACATAATAATAATGATGTTCCACAAGGGTCATTTCTTGGTGCTATATATATCTTGAATTTATGAATTATCTTCTTTTACTAAGATTTCATCAAGGATTTCCTTCAATAAATCCTCATCAGTTTCTTCCAATTCCTGTTCAGTTACTGTCTTTGTATGTTGGTTATTGCATTCATTCCCCTTGCAAACACAGAACAATGTACATGATAAAGATGCCTTGGAGCATGAACA